TGGGTTGCTACAATATTGCATCGTTGTTTTCATTGTCGACGACGCTAAAGCCGAACGAGTGCAACACTTGCTTAGCGGCTATCCTTATACGATTTGCTTGAATTGTTTCTAAGGAAGCACACACCAAACGGCCGGCCCTTTTTATGTCGACGACATATTTCAAAAAGAGAACTATCGTTTCTGCTTTAATATTTATTTTTATAGACTTGCTAACTGTTATGATTCTGAAAAAAATCAGCGGTGAACGCGCTGCCCTGAAGACAGAAAGCTGTCACAGCTATTTTGCATTCACCCCTTGTTTTACGCATTTAACAATGTTTATAAGTATCACGACAGACTTCAAGAAAGTCAACAGTTAATACAACCACAGTCAATGAATAGAAAATATTTTTTTTTTGTTTTGTGTAGAAAAAGACCCCCTGGGCCTGTGCCCGGATATGACCTCAACTTCTTTATTGTGTCAAAAGTGGGGGGTGGGCGTTTGTCCAGGCATGGGCTCTTACCCGGATAAGTACGGTAGTTGCAATCCATGGTTTATTTATGGTTGTGTAGCTTTTGATGTTTTTTATATACTTATTATTACATATATTTTTCTGTATTTGAAATTCTAAGCCACTGTGAAGTACACAAGTATAATATGTAGAGCAATCGTAAACTAAGTGTAATTATAATTATTAGGTATCCACCCTAATAGAGAAATGCAAACTCAAAATAAAACAAGTTTACTAGTATTTCGAAGTGTGTACTGTAAATTACTTTATTTTAGCTGGAATTAATTTTCACTGGAAAGGCTTTTTGGGTGTTATGTATGGAATTTATATTCACTGATTTTTGATGTTGGATGTGAAATATAGGAAAAAAGATATATTCGCTGAATTTTATTTTTACTAAATCATCCCTTCAGCAAAAATAGCGAAAATAAATTCCAAGTGGAAATAAAGTATTTTACAGTATACCAATACGTTTTCTCTATTTGTCACCACCTTACCCTATCCTGGGCTTCATTTACACAAAACCATTAGACTGGTCCTGACTTGGTTGTGAGGTGTGTTTACTATAATTTATCTTTGTTGTTGTTTTTCAGGTACATTAAAGTTAGATATATCACCCATGCCTGAGAATCTACCATTCTGTCTGACACCAGAACTCCAACAAGTTGATCCATATCCAGATATGAGAAGCAGACCAACACGAGAAATTCAAGAATTTCCGTCCAAAGAAGTGTTTTTACCCCACACTACATACAAGTATGTTTGTCATTTCTTTATTCAAAGCTCATTTCTCACATTTTTTCCACTTCTCTCTGGTTAACCAGTTTCTCACTGTTGTCTCACAGCTGTGGAAAACTCGTTTCTCACTATGTCCGAGCTGTGTGGCAAACTCATTTCTCACAATTTTTTTCACATCTCTCAGGTTAACTCATTTCTCACTGCTGTCTGACAGCTGTGGCAAACTCATTTCTCGCTATGTCCGAGCTGTGTGGCAAACTAATTTCTCACAGTTTTTTTCACATCTCTCTGGTTAACTCATTTCTCACTGCTGTCTCACAGCTGTGGCAAACTCATTTCTCGCTATGTCCAAGCTGTGTGGCAAATTCATTTCTCACTGCTGTCTCACAGCTGTGGCAAACTCATTTCTCACTATGTCCGAGCTGTGTGGCAAACTCATTTCTCACAGTTTTTTTCATATCTCTCTGGTTAACTCATTTCTCACTGTTGTCTCACAGCTGTGGCAAACTCATTTCTCGCTATGTCCAAGCTGTGTGGCAAACTCATTTCTCAGTTTTTTTCACATCTCTCTGGTTAACTCATTTCTCACTGCTGTCTCACAGCTGTGGCAAACTCATTTCTCACTATGTCCGAGCTGTGTGGCAAACTCATTTCTCACAGTTTTTTTCACATCTCTCTGGTTAACTCATTTCTCACTGCTGTCTCACAGCTGTGGAAAACTCATTCCTCACTATGTCTGAGCTGTGTTGCAAACTCATTTATCACAGTTTTTTTCACATATCTCTGGTTAACTCATTTCTAACTGCTGTCTCACAGCTGTGGAAAACTCATTTCTCACTTATGTCTGAGCTGTGTGGCAAACTCATTTATCACATTTTTTTTCACATCTCTCTGCTTAACTTGTTTCTCACTGCTGTCTCACAGCTGTGGCAAACTCATTTCTCACTATGTCTGAGCTGTGTGGCAAACTCATTTCTCACAGTTTAAGCTTGGTGTACTTAAAATACCCTTAAAATAAATTTTGTCTTTCATTATCTAAAATATTGTTTATCGTCTAACAGAAAGTTTCAAATGAATGTACCTCCAATGAAGGCATGTTTATGCCCCTTTAGCCCCAAAAGGTATCACAAAAAATAAAATCAGACATTTGAAGTATAGATGGAAAAAGTATACTGTAACTGTAACATGTGATGAATTATATAAAGTCAAATGTAGAAGTTATTATCTTGTGTCGACATAAAGGTTAGATTGTAATTGACTTCATGTGAATAGAGAGCAACAGTAAATGTAACTTGGAGTAACTTGCGTAGTGTTTGAATGTTTCCAAAACGAATCCTTTGAAGTACCGGTGTAATTTCATGACAAGATCATATATGTTTGTATGTTTTTAAGTTTAAAATCTAACATGACGCTAGTGCTACTGTATAAAAAAATCAGAAAGAGTGCTTTTGTACCCAAAACTCTAACTCATATCCTACCCTAACTCTCCAGCGCACCCTAATTTAATTGTATTTATGCCCCACCTAAGGATACATAATTATCTGGAGGGGTGTATTTATAAAATTTAATTCCTAATTTTTGAGTTGTTAGTTTTCTACAGAATTCCGTTAGAGGGCGCATCCAAAATACATGGATGACGAACCTGAGTGGGG